AATTATATGGTATTATCAAGTTTCAGTTCAGTGTAAATAAAGTTGTCGTTTGATGAATTCTATGTGTTTTCTTTAAGTATTATGGTTAAAATTAATAAGTTGTTCGTGTTCTATGATATATTTATGTTTATATGATCATACAGGTTATCTTTCTAACAGAATATCATAGTAGAGTCGAGTTAACAAGAGTTGTTTATGCGTGCATTGATTCGAGTTAACAAAAATTGATATGTTTTATAAGTCATACTTCCGATAGCATTCTGATAGAATTATTTCATTCCGATAACATGCAGAGTTTTGTAAGGCATATTTATATATCATTCTAATCGAATACTTTCGTTAATAAAATATTCTGCAACTTTTCTTTAAAAAAATACATAATTTTATTGTTAAGTAGTTAATATAATGTAATGTTGGAATTTTTTATATTTGGAATGTGAATATAGTACCGTTTTCATGTTTTCCCTTTATCATGTTTTTAAAAAAAATCAAATCGGAATCATTTATTTTTATCAATGATCCCTAATATCAAGGCTTTTAATTTGCATAGAATCCGTTTTCATCCCTATCTAGTTTGTATGACATTTTTAAATATTTTGATTTTTTAACTAACAAAGCATAGACAAACACTCTCGGAATTTCTTAGCAATGGGCGATCAAGAAGCAGATGTCAATAATCATATGTATGAGGAACATTATTTGGCTAGTGATGATGGAAATGGAATTGAAGATTTCGATTTTCCTGATAATGATACACTATATAATGACGGATTTCAAACAGGAGAAAGCAGTAATCCTGATTTAGGTTAGTTTTTTGATTTTTTGTTTAATTTTTCATTCTGTTTTCAGATTCTATATTGTTAATACTTTCATTGCTGAACATACAGAGGAGGCAAATAATGATGAAGACGAAAATCACTTTGTTGATGAAGATATAGAGGTTAATATTGATTACAGTGAAGGTAATAAATTCAATTCATGATACTGAAGTTGCTACAGAAAAAAGTTAATATTGATTTCATTGAAGGTACCAATTTCTTTCAGAATGATTATGTATTTTCTATTTTAAACAGGACAACCACATGTTACTCATGAAGATACAGAGTTTAATATTGATTTCATTGAAGGTACCAATTTCAATTCAGAATTTTATTTTTTATTTTTTACAGAAAAAATAAAATTGTGTCAGAATAAAAGTTATATAATTCTTTCATAATAATTTTGTATTTGCTATGTTTAAGCAGGACAACCACATGTTACTCATGATTATGTTTCTCCTGGTGGCACCTTGTATTGGACTCCGATTGTTTTAGACGACATCAAACCAAAAGTTTCATCAAAATTTAATTCATATGGTGAAGCAGAAACAATGTATAGAAAATATGCATTAGAATCTGGTTTTGATGTCAGGCTTGGAAGAGTCCAAAAAATGAAAAATGGGATTATTACAAATAGACATCTTGTGTGCAATCGGGAAGGTAATCCGAATACTAGTAAACTAGATACTCTAGATATTCAGCATAAGAAGACTCAAAGAAGGAAAGATCTATTTAGGAGGAATTGTAAAGCGAAAGTTGTTTTAGAAATAATTCCCGGTACTCTTACATATGTCGTGAGTGATTTTGTAGAGCGACATAATCATGAGTTGTTTAGCAAAGGCAATATGCACTTATCTCGTTCAAAAAGAAAACTTGATTATTCCCAAGAAATTTTCATTCATAATTTGTCAAAACAGAACATTGGTCCTGTAAAAGCACATAGACTGTATAGTGCTCTTCAGGTTGGTCCTTCGGTTCGAGGTGGATTGGTTACTGATTTCAAGAATGCTAGGAGGAATCTTAATTGTTACATAGGTGGGAGGGACGCGAAATTCCTTGTTGACAAGATGAATGATAGGAAGAAAAATGTCCCATCATTTACTTTTGAGTATAAAGTGTCGAACAACAGATTGAATTCTTTATTCTGGGCTGACGAAACAGCAAAGTATAATTACAATTCATTCGGAGACGTTATATCATTCGATGCCACATTCAGCATGAATAAGTATTTATAACCTTTAATATTTTTCAATAAGAATTTCATTATTTCCATTTATGTAAACTAATATTTTTTTTTAAATAGGTGATATGATATGGTTTTTGTACCGTTTACTGGCATTGACAATCACAAAAAATGTGTAACATTTGGTGCTGGTCTTTTAAGTAAAGAAGATGGAGTTTCTTATGAATGGTTGCTTAGAGCTTTTTTGAAAGCTTTTAGAAAACAACCTCAATTGGTTTTATCTGATCAAGATCCAGCTTTGAAAAAGCTATAGATAAGGTTTTCCCATTGGCACATCATAGGTTATGTATGTGGCATATAACGAAGAAGTTGCCAAATAAGGTATACATAAAAAGAATACTATTCTTATTTTTTTGGTATGATTATACAATTGTTTTCTCATATTCTGTCAGAATGTTTTTTTTAAACAAAACATTCAATTGCATTAACTCGTAACTTTTCTTATCATTCTACAATTTCTTTTAAAATTCTGCATTCGTTATCTCATATTCTAACATAATCAATTCATGTTAACAAACCCATTGTCTTTAACTCTTACTTTTTGTTATGATTATACAATTATATCATATTCTGGAAGAATGTTTTGTTTTAACCAGAATTAATTGCATTAACTCTTAATTTTTCTTATCATTCTACAATTTCTTTTAAAATTCTGCATTCGTTATCTCATATTCTCACAGAATCAATTCATGTTAACAAACCCATTGTCTTTAACTCTTACTTTTGTTATGATTATACAATTATATCATATTCTGACAGAATCAATTGGTTTAACTCTTACGTTTGTTCTGATTCTACAATTAATTTTCCACATTATAACTTCATGATATCATATTCTAACAGAATGAATTTATACAGATTTTATCAATTGAAGACGCAACAACCAATCAAAAATTTCGAAAGCGTTTTCACTCTATAATTTGGAATTCTAAGTTGGAACCACATGAATTCGAAAATGTGTGGCGTCAGATGTTGGAAGAGTTTAAAATTACTGATAACACTTGGATGAATACAATGTATGGATTGCGAAATCTTGGATCCCCGCATTTTTCAAGCACATTCCAATGTCTGGTCTTATGCGGACTACATCGCTGTCTGAAAGTCAGAATTGGTCATTTCAAACAACGACACTAACCGGTTCTTATCTTGTTATGTTTATGATGACATTTGAATCAGTTATGGAACGACAACGACATAACCAAATTCTCAATGATTTTAATACTGCCACCACTTTTCCTAAATTCATTACCCGTACTCCGTATGAACCTCATGCTTCAAATGTATATACACGAAATATTTTTATCAGGTTCAGAAGGAGATATCAAGATCTGAAGATAATTGTTTCCAAAAGAATGTGATATCTTCCAACGGTGTTGACACGATTATTGTTATAGAGAAAAGAAAGAACATAACTATTAGGCAAACAAATGATGTCGATGTTGATGACAAAGATGAGGAATACAATTACGATTGTCTTATAAGGGATACTGAATACATGGTATGTTTTTTTTCACATTAATTGTCATTTTATCATTTACATTTAAACACTAAAAATTTACAACTTAATTATTTTCACTAATCATCTTATATTTTCCAGGTCACACACTCAACTAAAGATGGTTCATTCAAATGTACTTGTATGCATTTTGAACATTTAGGTATCTTATGCAGACACATATTCTGTGTGTTTAAGTTTTATGGCATCGAACAAATTCCTGAAAAGTACATTTTGAAACGTTGGCGTAGGGATGTCATTCCAACAGAATTACTGAAAAGACGCTTCAATAATTCTTTCGACGATTCTACTTCCGACATGACTGCTATTGATATTTTTTCAACTGTTGACCGTTGTGTCTTTTTTGAGCCACGATGCAGCAAAGTTAAAGTTATACCTTGACGAACAGAATAACTTGAAAAAAAAATTCGTAGACAACTGTTCAAATCATGATCTACCGACCAGAGCAGATCATTTCAAGCAGCTTTTAGGTGTGGTTGTTCCTGATGTAGAATCTGATGTTAATGACATTCAGAATCCTACAGATATTCGTAACAAAGGTTGCGGTAGTCGTGGAAAAAGATTAAAATCTACAAAAGAGATGATTGAGAAGGAAATCTCGAAACCAAAGAGAAAATGTGCTATATGTGAACAGATGGTTCATCATGACAAAAGAAATTGTCCTCTAAAGAACACCAAGAAATAATTTCCTTGTTTTTTTTTTAGTTTATTAGAATGACATTTGATTTAATTCTGTCGATTCACACTTATTGTTATCTTTTATGTCGTTCAATAAAGTATTCACTTTTATTACTATTGACATCGACATTGTCAATCAACATAACAATATTCATATTATCTTATTACTTTAAAATACTCATAAAACGTAATACAAAAATTCATTCCATCGACTGTATAAATTCATTATTTTCAAAACTTCTAATACAAAATTTCCATCGATTGTATAATTTACAGCAACATATACAAATTCTTTCAATCATTTAAGTTTGATTTTAATGTTAACAAAAATGTTTTATTATTACTGTAATATACAAACGATACATGCAATTTGTATACAAGAATTCATTATATTTATATCCTATTTCATAATATCTACATAACGTATTCTACCAGAATCATAACAAATACTACCTTGCATCATCATCATATAATTTGTAAAAAAAAAAATTCTATTCACAATAGTCACAAAACATTATTAACCACAACATTGAATTATATTAACAAAATTATTAGAAACAAAAAAACATCAACACATGCATTAGTAATATTAAGTTGCATTATATGAAAACTACATTACTAACAAGAACCTTAGATTTTCACAATGCACAACATCATCATCCTAGAATTTAAACAACGCATCAACACACCCATTATACGAAAATTACCATTCCATTATAACATATATCGAATACTACTGATAACATTACTTCATAACGTCTGATAGACAATCTACTTTTTCAAACATCTAACATAAGGCAGAGTCATGTTTCAACATTCAAAAAAACAAGTTCAGCTCATGACATATCAAAGTTTATCTGTCAACTTATTAAATACCACGCCAAATTCTTACCTACGACCCTTTGTTTTTCTTTTTTTCTTCCTGTTTTCAGCTGACTCTCTTAGAAGCATATCTTGTTCCAAAATATCAAGCTTACGAAACGCTTCAATATCTTTAACTATCATATTCTTGAACTTATTGAAATCAGATGTCAACAATCTTGCCATGTATTTTATCCTTAGCTTAATTGTAGCACTCACATCAGCAGGCATTTTACCTGTAAGACCACACTCCCAACGCCCTTCATATTCCCCCATGTACGTTTCCATATGCCTCATGAGGTATATTCCACATTCTGTTCCAGCTTTTTCGACTAGCCAAGATATGTTCATCACACGTGCTGCTTTAAAAGTTAACGTTTTTGCCATTGGATGATGTTGTGATGTCAAGTAGTTGCAAAACAGTTTTTTCTGGCATTAATTACAACAAATACATAAAAAATAATCTTATAATATTCCTTAGAATGGAAAACTATTAATCAGAAATTTATTGATTATCTTACCACCAGGTTTGGTATCATGCCATACTTTCTTTCCAAAGTTCCTGTTCTCTTCACATGATCTACTATGTAGTACAAACTTGATTTCAGATCAAAGATGAGTAAGTAATACTTTCCATCATCAACTATTGGGAAGAAAACCTTGTACACATTAAAAGAAGAGGTTACGTTAATATTAATTGATGCCACAAATATTATATTTATAAAATAATCTTACAAGTGCAACGTCTCTAAAACTTGGCTTCACATCAAATTTCTTAGTGTAGATTCGCAATAAAGTAGCAAAAAGCCTACATTTCATATCTTCCGACTTTAGCTCATTCAATATATCTTCTGTCTGAAAAACCCCAACTCAACATCAATATTAATTCTACAGAAATAAATTTGAATTAAATTTTTTTTTTTACAACATAAATTCATACCACAATAGTTGTATCGAAGAAAAATCTTGAAAGCGATGACTCATCCTTGTAGTTTTCCATTTTATTTAAAAACGCAGCCCAACAATCAATTATTTTAGAATGCAAAAACATTCCATGATTAAATTGATATGCAAAACCCTGGTGCAGCAAATGACCTGTTCCAATGTCCCAAATCTCATCCCTGTGAAAAAAAATATGTATAACATCAATTTTAAAACATTCATTTTAAAATTATAGATAAATATAATAGGTGACACATATATAAACATATATATAAATACATACCCATCATCTCTTGTAGATGCAAAAACTGAATTGCACATACATGTTTCATCCTTAGACCGTTTTTCCCCAACCTTAACAATTCTTTCAATATAGGGCGAAGTAAATACTTTTGCTTTTTTAGGAATACATTTTTCCCTTTTGTCATTATCATCATATCCTCCAGCATTATCAACAGCTTCTCTTATATTTCTTCCTACCAGATTATCCCTACTGATTACTGACATTTGCTTTTTCTTTTTATACACTTGTAACTCAGTTTCCTCCAACAACTTGATCATTTCGTCATTCACCCCTGGAAGTCAATGAAACTGAGTCATTGTTAAAGAAGTCGTATCAACAGGTGTGGTATAATTGTCGTCCTTTTCAGTATTTACTTCAGTAAGTATCAATCCTCTAACAGGTGAACTATTTCCTTCACCGCCATCACCTACATCATTCATATTTACCTCATTAAAGCAGGCAGGCTCATGCACTTTTTGGTTACCTGCCCCTTTAAATACTCCCTTAAAAAGTTCATTCATTTTCTCCATCCACTCATTCAGCACCACACTATGAGGGAATTTTAACAACCCATCCTTCAACGCAACCTCCATAGTACTTTTCTCTGTTACAATAACCCCATAACTATGCTCTATAACAGCTGCGTATGCCTGATACACATATAATTAATAAATGATAACATTACAAAAATGTGTACTATATATTCTATTAGAATATATCATTAACTATTACTTTCATAATATTTACTTCATAATCTACCATAATATTACCTCTTCATCTCCAAAATCCCTCTTAAAGCTTAGCATTTGCTGTTCTTCAGCTCCTGTTTCATCGACCATATCGACATCATCATGCTCATCCCGAAACTGCCTCCCGAACCCTCCCAAACTGATTTCTAATTTTTGAACCTCTAACAATTTAGCACCATTTATATGCCCAATAAAAGGAAGCCTTTTGTCTATCTTGATAGAATACTTCATGTTATACACGTACACCAACTGAAAAAAAAAACATTAACTTAATCAATACATCAATAATAAATCGATACGAAATATATACATTCATATAAAAATATTTCAAACTTACAATCAGAAGTGTAATAGGACCACTGTAGTAGCTTGATTTGTCATCCCTTTTCCATAGTTTTTTTCTAGATCCCAAACAATCAAGCATATATTTACACCAATTTAACTTTGAGAAGTCTTCTACCAACACCAACTTCCTTACCACTTTTATTTGATTTGTTCCCATCAACATTGACTCTATGAAGTTGTTAACAAATAGGGTCAAAAAATTCAGCCTAAACATCAAATTATCCTTCGTTGTAGCCTGAATCCTTCTTAAATACTCCTCACCATTGAACTTATCACCACTATATTGTCCCCTCCATTCTTCTAGAATTTGATTTCCCTTATCACACAATGGTAACTCATTGATGTCTTCTCCACCAAATGGCAACCCCATCATATCATGCACTGTTTGTTCTGTTATCTCAATAACAGAGTTTTGTAGGACAAGTCTTTTACTATCTGCGTCATAAACATCTAAAAGATAGTAGCTAAGTTGTCCCGGATAACTTGTAATATTCACTTGCAGAATTGATCCAAAACCCATCCTCAAGATTGCTTGTTTCTGTTCCGGTGACATTCCCAATAACAGCTGCAGTGATGTTATCACATTTCATTCTGGTTGGAAGGTATCTTAAACCAGGTGGGTATTCCTTATTTGTTTTTCTAACATTATCTTCTTTTTCTTCTTTGACGTTTTCAGCAATTCCCTTATTTTTAAAATGTTTTACAATTGGAACTCTATCAAATTGCCTCTTCGACCTTATCTCTCTTTCCAAAATTAGTGCATTTAAAGGTTTAGGAGTTGTCTTTTGTTCAACTGCTTTATCAAGTTTTTTCTTTGACCTTCTTTCTCGGTTCAAATGTTCTTCTTCATGAATTTGATCTGCTACAACAAACAATAGATAGCATAAATTTTCATTACAGAGTTAACTAATAAAACAAGTAGGCTAACTCTACAAGAATCAAATACATTTAATTTAGAATTCTATTAGATTCATACAATCAAATTTCACACTCATATATAATATCACATTCTATTTAGGAGTGTTTAATAGTCAAACAAGTCGACTTATGCTAGCAGAATATCAACCATTTTCAGTTTCATATACACAGAACATTCTTTTAGAATATGAAACATCTAAGCTTATTTCACATACAAACACTTAGATATAGAAATTTAGATTACAATTCAGCCAGAATATGAAACATGTAACCTTATTCTACATACAGTAACTATCAATTCTTCAGTATCATTCATTAATCATCTACATACTATGGTTCCATTAGAATTAAAATTATATATAAAATGCTATTTAACTGCTTCAGTATAGAAATTTATCTTACAAATATACTTATTCTATTAGATATCAACAATGTTCAAGTTCTTCTACACATTACATTCTAATAGAACGTGTTTTTTTTTGCATACTTATTCCACATACAAAAACTATGAATTTTTCACTTAAACATGCTAATTAACTATTTAAATTTAAAAAATTAGATTACAACTCTACCAGATTATTAACAATATTTAGGCTGACATACACAAAACATTCTATTAGAATATAATGCTATTTAACTGCTTCAGTATACAAATTTATCTTACAATGCTAACTAGTGAAACAAATACACTTATTCTATCAGTATAGAAATTTATCTTACATACTATGGTTCCATTAGAATTAAAATTATATATAAAATGCTATTTAACTGCTTCAGTATAGAAATTTATCTTACAATGCTAACTAGTAAAACAAATACACTTATTCTATCAGAATATCAACCATGTTCAAGTTCTTCTACACATTACATTCTAATAGAACGTGTTTTTTTTTCATACTTATTCCACATACAACAACTATGAATTTTTCACTTAAACATGCTAATTAACTATTTAAATTTAAAAAATTAGATTACAACTCTACCAGATTATGAACAATATTTAGGATGACATACACAAAACACTTATTCTATCAGAATATCAACCATGTTCAAGTTCTTCTACACATTACATTCTAATAGAACGTGTTTTTTTGCATACTTATTCCACATACAACAACTATGAATTTTTCACTTAAACATGCTAATTAACTATTTAAATTTAAAAAATTAGATTACAACTCTACCAGATTATTAACAATATTTAGGATGACATACACAAAACATTTATTCTATCAGAATATCAACCATGTTCAAGTTCTTCTACACATTACATTCTAATAGAACGTGTTTTTTGCATACTTATTCCACATACAACAACTATGAATTTTTCACTTAAACATGCTAATTAACTATTTAAATTTAAAAAATTAGATTACAACTCTACCAGATTATTAACAATATTTAGGTTGACATACACAAAACATTCTATTAGAATATAAAAAATGAAACCTTATTCAACATACAATGACTACTATATAACAACTTAAAGTTCAGAACATTTTCAAGTTTCTTAATAAAATACGAAATTTAAACACATTTTTCTTCCAAATATTACAAATCTACCAGAATATCAACATTATTCTGGTTCATATACAGAGCATTCTATCAGAATATCACCATGTAACATTATTCAACATACAATAACTACGATTTTTTCAGTTTTTATGTACTAAATCATATACAAATTGTGATTCCATTAGAATTTAAAACCTGTTTAAAAGCTAATTAACAACTTAAATATAACAATTTACTTTACAATTTTAACCAGTAAAACAAGCATACTTATTCTATTAGAATAACAACCACGTCCACGATCATATAAACCGAACATTCTATCAGAATATCACCATGTAACATTATTCAACATACAATAACTACGATTTTTTCAGTTTTTATGTACTAAATCATATACAAATTGTGATTCCATTAGAATTTAAAACCTGTTTAAAAGCTAATTAACAACTTAAATATAACAATTTACTTTACAATTTTAACCAGTAAAACAAGCATACTTATTCTACTAGAATAACAACCACATCCACGATCATATAAACCGAACATTCTTGAAGAATACCATACACAGTAACCATTCTTAATAAAATATGAAAAAATGACACATTTTTTCTTCCAGACCACAAATCATACATGCATATAAAAGATTTTCAAAAACACTTCCTAAATTCTACTACATTTTTCGAACTAAATAAACATTAAATAACACAATAAAATTATTACCTTCAGTTTCAGCAACGTAATCATCATTGTCGTCTTCAAGATTCAACGCCGTTTCTACTGTGTTCTTGAACTTTGATTTAAATGAACTGGATCGTGTACTCCTCATTGTTGCAGAATACCGCTAATATAACCCCCAAATGTCGATTTCGTTTTCTAGGGTTAAATGTCAATATTTATAGGGAAAACCTACAAACGATCTTCCGATTTTTGAAGACTGATTACAATAAATCGGAATGTTTTTCAACCTCCTAAGGATTTGGGTTCTTGATTATGAGAGTAAGCGAGATATTTAGGATTATCGGTTGATCATTCCATATTATCCACCGTTTCCTAATTAAATGACGGGGCAAAATACCATTCTACCCTTGTTTGACCGGTCAATTGATTAAACCTCATTTATTTGATTTTTTTATATTTAATTTAAAAAGAAAACCACTTTCTTAAATTACCACAAATGATTGGCCTACATTCATTTACATGGCACACAATACTTATCAAAAACAAAATAACCTAACCATATATATATATATATATATATATATATATATATATATATATATATATATATATATATATATATATATATATAGTTTACATCCATAAATTATCATTTTATATGTAACCGATAGATAGTCAATAAAAAATACTTTTATAACTCTTTGTTTAATTATTAACTGTTATAAAGTTATAAATGTTTATACATTGTATTAAAAAACAACGATTAATTAGTCAAATGTCAATAACCTTTGGTTATTTTTTTTCATCTTTATATACAACTAAAACTATATTAACCCACATCTACAACTTGTGTAGATCCATTGATATTTTAAGATAACATATCATTAAATAGTGAATATAATATGCTATGTGTTAGTGTTTTTTTTTTCATTTGTAAAAGTTTTATATATTTTTTTCTTTTTGTTTAATATTTATTGTTATATGTGATACTTTATTTGGTTTAACCGGTAAACCGTAACCGAATTAACCAAAACCAATTAAACCAAACCTTATTTGGTTTGGTTATGGTTAGTTTGAAGATTTAAAAATAAAATAAATAAAAAAAATAAACAAAAAAACAAAAAAGAATCCCAAAAATACAGAACCATATAAACCGGAAGAGAGAGAGAGAGAGAGAGAGAGAGAGAGAGAGAGAGAAAGAGGGAGAAAATAACACCTGGTTTTAGTTATAAGAAATGTCGAAGTACCCAGAAATAATAGATGACTTTCAATAGCCATCAAAATTCAAAATGCTCCCATGTTATTTTGGTTATCTTGTTGGAAAATTGGTTTTTTCTATTTTTAAATACGTACTTCGAACCCTAAAGTATTATTAAATGAATAAATGGTTATACATTTGTGTTCTTCTTTGTGAGAGCTACGTTTTGATGTATCAATGTTCAAAATGGATTTTGTGACAACCTGAAATTTCTATCTTGTAAAGTTAACAAATACAATCAAAAGTTAGACTTATATCTATTACCTTTCAGCCTTGCTAAGGGTTATTCTAGGAGCTTTTAAGCCTTGTACACTTAGGACTTAATGCTATGAATTGTGATTAATGAATCTATGATTTTCAAATTGAGCCAAGATCATCCATCAAGGGATTTTTACGACCCAAAGTAGGTTTACGGCCTTAAACCCAAGCTTGATCATAAACCCCTCTCTACTTGTATAGATTTCCTTCATTATTTCTTCATTCTCACATCTTCAAGTCAAGAACTCTCAAACTCTCTCAAGTATCATCAAGAACACTCTTCTTTCTCTTCAAAATCGTAAGTGATTCTTCCATTTTTACTTGATTCCCTTCTTATTCACGTGAGGCTCTTTGATTTCATCCATGAATTCCACACTTTTTGTTTAGATCTTCAAATCATCATCTCTTCACCAAGAACACCAAGAACACACACTTGTTCTTGGGTCGTAAACTTCATAAAATCTTCCAAACGTAAGTATCTCTTCTATCATCTTGTTATCTGTTAGAAGCTTTTGAATCCCTATGAAACAAACACCCTTTAAGCATGAATCAAGCACCAAATTTGCATGATCTTCAAGAGTTCACGGCTGTGAACCTTTCATGTGGCCGTGAACCCTTCATAAGATCTTGATAAGGTTGTGAACCCTTCATCCATGGTCGTAAACCCTTCTTGATGCAAGTTTGGACCGTAAAACCTTCATGGGATCAAGCCTTGGGCCGTAAACTCTTCTATGGCCGTAAACACTTATAGTGTGGCCGTGAACACCCTTTCATACAATCACATGTGATTGTAACACTTCCTTTAAAGTGTTTCCTAGTCCCTAAGGTTGTTCCCTTACATTATTATTTGTTATATGCACTAATTGTATGCCTATATATATATATATATATATATATATATATATATATATATATATATATACATATATATATATATATATATATGATTATATGTCTCATAGGATCCAATTATGCTTCGGGACTTCAATTGTGATCTGAAGCATCCTATATCTATCTCTCATTTCAATCACTCGCTAACATGTGAGTTCATACCCCTACAATCAACGTTTTTACTGATTTAAATGCTCTTTAGGGGGGATACAAGTTGAATACAATTACAATGTGTTATTATTATATACATTTGAATAACTTCCAAAACATTAGACAAATATTGTTTTCAAAATATTGTTAGTCATTCTTTTCAAAAGCTTATTCAAACTGTTTCTAAAATTACTTTCAAACTGCTTTTAAACTCTTTTAATTTCAAACCATATTCCTTCATATATTCAAGTATAAGTATGCTTAAATGGACTTAGGACTAATGTTAATGACATTGACTCCTATTCCTTGTTTGGTTGTGGGCTTAGGGTAGGATACACTAGTCCGATTGTCGATTAACTCATAATTATTCATGCTAAATACATACATGAATATTAAATCTTATCTTTAAAGTTATACTTAACTTAATTGTACACACTGAGCAATTGAGTCTTTTCTACAAGTCAGCTACAAAACAAACATACTAGTAAACTATAATAGGTATAGTTTAGAGGATTCCTACTTACTATTTCTAGAACAATGAAACTTACATGAGTTAGTTATTACATGAGTTGGTTATTACATGAGTTAGTTCTTACACAAGTTAGTTCATACATGACTCAGTTTAAACATACTATAACTAGAACAGGAAGAAACATACAATAAAAAGAACAGAAAGGAACATACATCCTTTTACAAGAACAATATAACATTAATGTGAAATAACTACTTCATGGCATAGTAATATACCTGTTATGTCACGTTTTGTAACCAGAGTCTCCTGGAGGGAGAGTGACCATTATGTGTATAGATCTATACGGGACTGACAATCCTACATCGTAACTGTTAGCTACAGTCCGGCAGACAAGCAAAGGGGTGACAAATGTCATATCAGTTTCGACGCCAGCAGGTCGTCGTGTTAAAAACTCGTCAATCAGTGTGGTTATAGCCACATCACATTTTAACTTTAATTAAACAAATTGGTTTTAAGGTAGTTAGTGCTTCAGTAGTTACTTATTACCACAATACTGTACACTGTCATTTTTCCCATTACATTCATATAGTGATCTTCTCACATAAAAGGGAATGTAAACTATTTTCTGGTAATGATAGTCATATACTTGGGAAAACACTCATTTTTACAGAAGAACAAACATACAAAACAGTCGGGTCTTGGTAGAAGACCTACTTTCCATTTTTAGTAGAAAATATAGGATTTTCTAGGAAGTATACAAACAATTACATCAAAACACTTACAAACATTTTCTTCAAACTTATACAAACATTAGACACTAAAATACTTATGATCTCACCAGCTTCAATATTGATTTACTCTTTCAAAATAACTTGTATTCTCAGGTCACCGGTAAACAGGTACAGATTGCCAGGTTTTGAGAAGACAGAGCACTTTCAAGACTCGTTTTTTATTTTTGATATATATATATATATATATATATATATATATATATATGTATATATATAATATATATATATATATATATATATATATATATATATTCTTTTGGTGTTTTTCAAATACATTGGGAACACACTTGTATTAACTATATTATTAATGCAATAAATGATGTTGCTTGTTTTACTATTGTGCATTGTTATGATACTGAACATGACGTTTTCCGCCCCTGAACGTTTCCGCCGTTCTGGTTTGGGGGTGTGACAGATTTAAGATAAATAAAAAATTAATCATCAAAAGTAAGGATGTTGGAAGAAGAAAAAAAAGAGTTTAATCGGTGGGAGAAAGAAAACAAAAGTTCAAGCACCTTTGTTGCAAATATTTATTTCTTTCGTAACTGAAATTGTAATTAATATTGTTGATTAATTACATATTAATCTTGTGATTAATGGATTTGTTTAATTTCATCATAAATACAAGGTTATAGAATATATAGTATACCATTAATCTACAATCATTTGAATAACACAAAAAGAATGAAAAAACTATCTTCTTCTTTCCATTCATATTCTTAATTTCTTGTATAGAAGGTATAATCAATGCCTATTAAGGGCCCGAGTGGTCTTGAGAAGTCACTTAAAACTATTGTATCATGGAAAACAAACATCTGGTAGCAAACGGATTTGTTTTAATGACAATGTGTTAAACACATGCCTTAGTTTTTTCTGTTTTTTTGTTTACTTTCGTACATATCCGTAATACTATATCTACATATCTAACAAACTTGAGTGCCAAAAAGTAAAAATAAAAAATTTGAATTTTGAAACCAATCGAAAGTTAGATAAAAGTTTGAAAGATAGAAAAAGTTAGTTACTGAAGGCAAAGTTATAGGTCTTGTGTGATAGATTTTGAGATTTATTTTTACTTTTGCTTTCACATCACGATACATCTTAGAGTGTACATATAAAAATGTATTATACTAATTTTATATTACAATTTACACATTATAAATATGTATAAAAGAACGTATTTCTTTTATCACTACTAGAAAAAAGAGTGTTTTCCTACGGATAATGGCTACGGGAAATTTCCGTAGCTAATTAGCTACGGAATGGCAACGAATTAGCTAAAGAATGGGACGTCCTAATTTAGTAACGGAATAGCTACGGAATAACTACGG